ATAATTTAAAGTAGATAGTAGTATGTTGAATTGCTTATTTCTTAAATAATTAACAAATTTTTATTTTTGTCACCTGTACAAATATTTTTCTAATTTATTTTTATTGCTTTTTTGCTAATTTTAGCGTTTTCAATAGGTTTTGTTTTCAGTCGGAGAATTTATATTAGCAACTCCGTTACAACGCGAATTTTGTAGTACTTTTTTTCTACTATCTCATGTCCTGACTTGTTTTTTTCAGGCAAATTTTAGTGCACTATTAAAAATAAAAGCTAGCAATCATCCATGACAAACTCAAACTACAAACTAAAATAATAGATAATTCAGTTTGTAGACTTTTATTTTTTATATAAATTAGATATTTGGTTCTTCTGTAAATTTTATTAGTGAATTCTAGAGATCGTTTTTATAAATAAAGTAAAAATAGAATAGAATGCTGTGCGAAGAAATAATGACTAAAAATGTAAAAATTAACTATGATTGTGAAAGTTTTTACAATAATAATTTAAAGTAGACAGTAGTTTGTCGAATTGCTTATTTCTTAAAAAATTAACAAATTTTCATTTTTGTCACCCGTACACCCGTTTTTTTTTTGCTAATTTTAGCGTTTTTAATAAGTTTTGTTTTCAGTTATTTGTTATTTGTTGGAAGAAAAGTATTTTTTGCTTTCCGAGACCATTGTTTAGTTTATAGCCGAAGATGAGGGAAATAAAATACCTACTCGAAGGAAGAACAAAATTTCGCCCTGTGTTTCGCATAATTATATAATAATATATTTTGTAAAAACAATTTTAGACAAAGAATGTTTCGAGGGAAGAAAAAAATACTCCCTGAGAAGAAAAACTGCTATTTTATTTTTTTTGAGATTGTGGAAGAATTTATATTACCAACTCCGTTACAACGCGAATTTTGTGGTACTTTTTTTCTATAAATTGTATATAAATTAGCTATTTGTTTCTTCTGTAAATTTTATTAGTGAATTATAAAGATCGTTTTTATAAATAAAGTAAAAATAGAATAGAATGCTGTGCGCAGAAATAATGACTAAAAAATGTAAAACTTAAATATGATTGTGAAAGTTTCTATAATAATAATTTAAAGTACACAGTAGTTTGTTGAATTGCTTATTTCTTAAATAATTAACAAATTGTCACCCGTACAAATTTTTTATTTTTCGATTTTTTTTACGAGAAGAAAAAATTTACTCCCTTGGGAAAAATTACATGCTTCTACATATTTCATCATTGACTAAATTTAAGTATTTGTTGGAAAATCAAAATTTCTTTCTGTGTCTCACATAATTATACAGGCTGTCCCAACGGTCCGAAAAAGCTCTATAACTTGTTTATTTTAAGAGATATTGACTTTTTCTTTTTTTTAGATTATAGCTGCTTTTTTGATGCACATTTTAAAAATATTGCGTTTTATATAGAGAATGTTCCAATATTAAAAAAACACTAAAGTTATGTTTTTTTAAATGGAATCTACTCAGTTTGATTTTATTTTTGGATTCTACGCTAAATTACAAATAACTTTTATAGAGGTTGTTTTCATTTATCTGTTATCAATTTTGATTTGTGGCGCTTTTTTACCAGAATTTTTGAAATGCAGGGTCTGTCTAAAAATTCGTAACTTCTAAATACTTGCACACAAGTTAAAGTAAGTAACGCCGTTTGATTCCTGAAGGTTTGCCACATCTTTTAAGTGTTTACTCAACAACCTGCTCAGTGGCATGTGCCTACTGCGATTTTTTAAACATGACAAATTAAAAATGTCAAAAACTCATTTTTTTCAAATGGCACCTGCTATTTATTATTGTACCAATCAAAAGATCTTTTGACAAGCTTTCCATCAATATAAGGTTTGTTTAGTCTAGTGTAAAATTCTAAGTTGCTATCCTAAATTAACTAAATTTTGATAAACTTTTCTGTTTCGAACAATAAAAATCGAGTGGGCCTTATGCACAAAAAAAAATTAGCACAGAAAATAAACAAAAGTATGGAACTGGAAATTCTTTGCTGGAAGAAAATGTACAATATTGTGTACAATTGAGTTACAGAGAAAATTAGGCAAAATCTAGCATATCGCAAAGCAGTATTAACACAATTTAGTAGAAAAATGTAAAAACATTAACAAATAAAAAAAACAAAACATTAAAGCTATTTTACAATTTTCTTTATAACAGATGCCCAAAAATATTACCATTTTCTTCAATACAAGTATGCAGTCTTCGTCTAAAAGATAGTCTAACACCTTTAGACAAAAAAATTTTTGGAGGGAAGAAAAAATTTACTCCCTGAGAAGAAAAACTTGTTTTCTTTTATTTTTCGATTTTTTACGAGAAGAAAACATATACTCCCTTGGGAAAAATTACAAGCTCCTACAGTTTCATCATTGACTAAATTAATTTAAGTACAAAAAGCAGATTGTAGAGATGTTTTATTTTTTTTTTAAGTAGGAAAACAGTTTCATGAGACGTTTCAAAATCTTACCTTCGGTGCTAATAACGCAATGGCTGGGCGCCACCGTCTGCGTGGTGACCACCCCATACAACGGACAGCAATCCTGCGAATACTGCACCACCTCTTCGGGCAAAAACAACAAACTCCCCGTCAAACTCAAATCCGTCACTTTCCCGACATCCCTCTTCCCACACTTATCAATTTTACTCATCACCGGTTTCAAAAAACTCATAACTTCCACATCCGTCCCTTCACTCAACAGTTCGTCCAAGAAAAACGCCACGTCTCTTGCCTCCCTCACTCTCTTGTGCAGCATCGTCTTGCACTTTCCGATTTCTTGCAGTTTTTCGGTTTGCGTCTGGATCACTTGTTGTAGCAACTTCTTGCGATGCTCCTCCACGGATTTGATGTACTTCTCGATGAATTCTTCGATTTCCGCTTGGACTTTACTGCATTGAGTCTCGATTTTCTTGGAGGTGGCGTGGAGGCGGTTGGCCGCTAGGGCCGATTGCTCCGCGATGGACTTGGCTCTGGCGGCGGCGAGGCGCAGGTCGGTGAGGTGGGCCTTCACGGCGCGGGAGATGGACTCGCAGGGGTGGCCCTTGTGGGAAGAGGGAACGCACTCGGGACATATGACCTACAAGGGATTGAGTCAAAGATGTTGGCACCACAAATTAAGAAGAAAAAAATTATTGAAACTTATTATCAGAGATTTTTTACTTTGTGTTCAGTAAAAATTTCAGTTAAAAATTTAATTGAAATGAAAATATACAGACTTTACAGTGTGTTTCAAGATGATTTTCGTTTAGTTAAGTTTCTCCAAAAGTCTGGAAACGATTTTATTCTAGCGAAAATTTTTTTGGCAATGGCTATAAAAATGCTATTAAAAAAATGATTATTGATTAATTGTTTATACTTACGAGATAAACATAGTTACATTTTTTTTTAAATGGAAACCTACCACAATTTTTTTTTAGATCACGAGCTTGTTACAATAATTGTTGCTGTGCAAATATTTTTTGTAGTGTTTGACTTACAAGAATTAAAGATTTTTTTTGAGTAAACTACCAGTTTTTTTGGAAATAAATTAATAAATGATTAAAGGTTCTAAAGGAGCGATGCCAAAATATTTTTATTTTAATTAATTGTTTAAACTTTTGAGATTAGCATACTAATATATTTTTTTAAATAAAAACGGTTGTTTATTAATTGTTTTACAAAGTTATGTTTACGCATTTTATAAATGTACAAAAATAATTATTACAAATTCACGTTAAAAAAATTATAAAATTTATCTGTTGTTAAAACTTTTCCACCGGCCAAGGGGTGGTCGGTTAAGAATATTTAAATCTGAATTATTTTTGAAATGCAGTAGATGCTCAAGAAACCATCGAACCTTATCGGAAGGGTTAATATCAGATGCCAAATAGTCACAGAATTGCAATATTACGTATTATTAGTATGGTAATCTCAAAAGTTTAAACATTTAATTAAAATAAAAAATATTTCGGCATTTCTCCTTTACAACCTTCAAACATTTATTAAATTATTTCCAAAAAACTAGTAGTTTACTCAAAAAATTTTTTTTTATTTTTGTAAGTCAAACATTTTTTTTACAAAAAAGTCTGAGGTTTACAAAAAAAAAATTTGCTCAGCAACAATTCTTGTAACTAGCTCGTTGTCTAAAAAAATTGTGGCAGGTTTCTATTAAAAAAAAATGTTACCATGTTTATCTCGTAAGTATAAACAATTAATTAATAATTAATTTTTTTTGAATAGCCTTTTTATAGCCATTGCACAGCTATAAATTTATTTGTCAAAAAAATTGATAGTTTCGCCAGAATAAAATCGTTTTCAGAGTTTTGGACCACCTGTAGAATAATAGTACGTAAACTAGTACTTTAATGGAAATAATCAACAGCAGAAACGTTGTTTAAGCAATTCAAAAAAAACGAAAACAGTTGATTAAAAGTTTTGACAAGTATAAAGTCAATTTTCTTTTGCTGATAACATTTTTATTACGTGTTTAACGACATTTTTTTGCAAAAAATTGACACGAACTGCATTAAATCTGACAATGACTGCTTTTGGTGCATTTTTTGATGTTGATATTCTACTTTTTTTTTTCAATAAAAAATTCTGAAAGCGTTTTGAACTTTTCAGAAAAATAATTAATTGTTTCATTTTTCAGTTGTTAAATGAAATTGATTAATTACGACAAAATTCTTGATTAAAATAGCGTTTTGTTTGAACAAGAAACGAAACATTTATTTACAAATTCACAATTGCATTTCTTGAAAAGGATGTTTACAGTGTCGCCGTTGTATTAAAAGCCACGCAAAAGAATTCCTAATGCAGTTAAAATAAAGCAAAAGGGTTACTAGTGACGGAGATTTAAAGTTCTGTAAATGTCGGGTTTCCTTTTGAGGTCTCTTTAAAGGTAGATTTATTTGTGCATCTGGATTATTGAATGTATTATTTTTATGGAAAGCAGAGCCGTCACCTTTGATATTTTAGACCTTCTTAGAGACAGAAGAAACAACGAACGCTGAAAGCAGTTGGAAAAAAACTCCGGATTTAAAAGTAATTATTTGTATTGGCCGTTAAGAAAAAAGTAAGTGAACATTTTAGAGTCGTTGTATATTTAAAGATACACAGATGTGTTTTTATAAAGACAAATTACATCTTGACAAAAACTAATTTTTTTGTAGTAAACTTCTCTCTAAAAAATCCATTAACTGAGCGCATTAAGCTCCTGAAATTCAAGATAAACTTTGAGAACACGCTTGCGCAATATTTATCAAAATGATAAAAATTTTCTTCATTATTTGGGGATTCCGATAACCACAAACAGTTATCGGTCTATTCCATTCATATTTGTATCGTAATTTTAATTTTACCAAAATTTTTGTGTCAAGATGTCTTCAATTCCGGTTTCTTCTTCCACAATTTGTAAGTCCTCTAAATGCAGTATTATTGGGTAGACAATTTCTACCTTAATTCAAGATTCAAAATTAAAAACAATTAATTTAATTGATTATTTTTTCTAACTAAAAAATTTTGAAAACCTTTCGCTCGATTATGATCAGTTATGGACTAAATTTTTTTAGGAACATAATTAATCTAATTTAAAAATAAAAACAGCAGTAGATAAATCTTCCCCTGGTATTTCTATTTATTTTGCTGCGCCACGCTGTCTGAAATTTAGATCGTAGATCTAACGATGCACGCACTCTTAAAGTTTATATTTAATCGCAACAACTAAGTTTCTGTGTATTTATGTTTGCGCACTTAACTTAAAAATACAATTTTATGATCAAAAATAAATTTTACTGAAGTATTGTAATGTCCCACTTTACACAAAGAAAAATATAAACTGTAGCTTTATTACAGCGTTTCTCTGATCTATCAATAGCCAATAGAGAACATTTGTTAGACAATTTAGAAAGAAAAATAGACACAGGTAACTAATAGCTTTGTTACGCTCAGGAACACTCTATTGCTCCCACCACTAATCCATTATGATGTTTTGATGAATTAATATGTTAGTAAGTGTCTGAAACATATGGTATTAATCAGTTGCTTATTTAACACATGGCATGTCATATCGGATGAAACCCTGCAGACTTATGCCTTCAACTGACTTTATTTGCTCTTATTTCCCAGTCAAAAGTTACATTTCACTTAAACCACAAATAACTCTTAAAATTAGAAAAAATCATGTATGTCACTACTTACTTGACAGCAGGTGGAACAAAACAGCGTCAACTCGAGATCAGGGTGCTTCACACACATGATCTGCCTCCTCACCTTCGTAATCCCTTTTCTTCGTGCTTCCTCCAACGACAAAACTTCGTGACCATTCGCCGCTTTCTGTCTCAGATGCACCTCTTCGCAATGTTCGCAAAAACTTATCGCACAATCCATGCACCGGGCTGTCGCCTGTGAACAATTCTCCAAGTTTTACGATTTAATAATACCGTACGATCAAAAAAAAAAATTAGAGTAGGCGTAGATTAAATTCTACAGTTGGCAACACATTGGCTGGGAATCTGGGCTGTAAAATTTCCACACAAACTAAAAATGAAAATGACCATTCATCGTTTTCGTCTTGTACGGGGTGCTGCATTTTGGATGTCCGAATATGAAATCTCCGAAACTCAGATGTTTAGCAAAAATCAAGTAATACATTCTGGGCTCATTTTTTGAGAAAATAATATTGGTTAAGACCGCATCCCGCTATCGTCTTTTGTTTTCGACTTACAGACAAAAGTTGACTTTTTGGCGAAATCTAAAAAAAATCATATCTTCGTTATTATAGAAGATACGGATTTGAAATAAAGACATTATAGGCACTTTTTTACGTAGAATTTAATAATGTAGTTAACATTTTTTTTCAGTCATTAGTTTAGCCGTTATAAAATAAACTTTTATTTTTTAAATGGAAATCATAGGCGGCTATGGCAATTTTGAAAAGCTTGTTTTTTTCTTATCTAAAAAATATATATTTGTAAGAAAATATTTTTATAACTATACTTAAAAAGTGAAATACATATTTTGTTTGATAATAGTTGGCCGTGGAAAAACTATTTTGCTTCAAATGTGTAAATAATAATCAATAAGAGTTTTGTGAACTGTAAAATAGATGAAAAAATATATAAAATTATAAAGATTTAAAAAATACGATACGGTAGAAGCATTGAACAAAAATCCGAGCGCCTCAGAACAAAATTATTACATATTTTTAAAAAATCCAAAAACAGGAAAAACAAATGTGTTGTCAATAGTCAACACAATTAGAAAAAATATTTTTTTGACGATCTAATGGAGGTAGGATAACGTTTCACATAGACGGAATTTGGGTATTTGAATAGCCATATCGTCATTTTTGTGTCATATAAAATATATTTTATTGAAGAATTAAAGCGGCTCTTTTTTACAACACTCTATGTCTCACTAGAAGTTACAATGGTAATGTTAGCTTGTTTAAAAACAAAGAAATGTTATTAGTCGCCAATAAGTTGATTTACAATTTATTTTGCATTTTTTTCATTACTTAGTACTTAGAAAACTCTTTCATTAGTGACACTGGTTGAATATAATATAGTTTAAATCCTTTTAATTGAAGATGCAACATTTTCTCATGGCCTAATGCGAACAAAAATCAAAGATAATTTTTTGCTAAAAATGTATTATAATAATTTGTTACAAATATATATTTTTTAGATAAGAAAAAAACAAGCTTTTTAAAAATGACATAGCCATCTATGATTCCTATTTAAAAAAATACAAGTTTATCTTATTACGTCTAAACCAACAAATGAAAAAAATTGTTAACTACATTATTAAATTCTACGTAAAAAAGTGTCTGTATAATGTCTTTATTTCAAATCTGTGCCTTCTATAATAACGAAGATATGAATTTTTTTAGATTTCGCTAAAATGTCAATTTTGGTCTATAAGTCGAAAACAAAAGACGATAGCGGGATGCGGTTTTAACCAATATTATTTTCTCCAAAAATGCGCCCCAAAAATGCGCCCCCTCATTTTTGGCTAAACCTCTTAGTTTCAGAGATTCCCTATTCGGACATCCAAAATGCAGCACCCTGTACAGCAATAAAAATTTTCTGCACTAAAGTAAACATTATTTCACTCAAAAGGAATAAAACGCAAACTTGTCAAAGTTTCCGCTGACATTTGATATCAAAAATCAGGATTGCCATCTGAAGGACTTTAATCACCGCCTACTCTAATTTATTTTTTTTTTGATCGCATGGTAGTAAAAGTGCAAAAAGTACCGAAACATCGGAGGTGCAAAGATCACAGAGAAGGTGGGTGCTTTGAGCATTGAGGGTGGCCAAGACCATGCGATGTTGTAGGAGGTAGTTGGGAGGGTAGCAGGACACACCCCCGAATGGAACTTCCGCTCGTGCCCCACACGTGGGACAACAAATCCGTTTGACAGTCGTGGGGGAACAGCTGCGATGCAGTGTGTTGTTTTTGTCGCTCATATAGCCGGAACCACCGGAACCTGAGCCCTTACGCGATCCGGAGGTGTTGGCAGATTCTAAATAGACAGAAATGGGGTGGTGAAGACAAATAAATTACGGGGATTAGGGGGAAAAAAACTTCATAAACTTTAACATTTTTCAAGAATCAGAATTGTTCACTCTGGAATTAGTTGTACAAATTTTTTGGAATTTAATCGGACATTGCTTGGGATTATTTGGAAGTATTTGGATTTATTTATTTAGAGTAATTTTTTACATTCAGTGTGTCCCAGCGAGTTTAAAACATCCATTAGTGACCTTTAAATGGTAAAATTTAAAAAAAATTATATAGAACATTGATACTAATCTAATCCATCGCATAAAATTATTTTCAACTATACAGTGTGTCTCAAAAATAAGTTACAATACAAACTTGTATTTTTTTAATGAAACACTATACAGGGTGATTCAGCTTAAATGACCCATTAGCCCCTCTTGGCAGACAACCTATAAGACACAAAGCAATTATTCCTTGATTCATATTCGAATTTTCACAGTTTCATGAATTGAAAAATATCGTTCTCGATATTTTGAAAATTTAATTTTGAATCAAGGAATAAGTGCATAATGTATTATGTGTTGTTTGCCAAGAGGGGTCAGGTGGGGTATTTAAGCTGATTCACCCTGTATGTTTCTAAGCGTTTTTGGATGTAGATTCTTATGACAAGCTAAGCTAAACTTTTTTTGGTCGATTTTGCTTAGTTTTAAAAATAAGACGGTTTTTTTTGAAGAAAACATCCACTTTTTAAAAATTTATTAAGTACACAAAAACTAAGACATGTAGAAATATTTTTTTTACTACTACAAAGAAGAAGGTACAAGCTATAAGGTTGTCACATTTTTTTCGTGTTTTGCATTTGCAAAGACAAAAAAATGAAGGCGTTTGTTCAATAACTTAAAAAAATTAAATGGAACACCCTATTTATTGTTTTGCATTTAAGAGATTATTAAATTGTCTTTCTAAAATTATTTACTTTTAGGTGTTTATAATCAATAACTAAAAAGATATTTAACGTTAAACATTAAAAAAAAATTACTATTGTTTCAGTAACCAAAAAGTGCACAGTTGCACAAGAGATGGAAGAAATATCCCTTAATAATCACATTTGTGTTAAACTGAATCCATTCTTCTTTATTTTTACAATAAAATAATTCAAATTTCAGTATTTATAACGACTTTTACAATCTCTCGATAAATCAACGAATAAGTGATCCATGGTGGAATTACTATAGTTGGCATAGTATCAACAATGCCCAAATATTGATAGGCATTGTTGCTACAATTAATTTTAAATGTTAAATATTTTTTCACTTATTAATTCCAGACATTAGTTTTTTTAGATAGACAATTTATCAATCTATTAGATGCATAAATAAAAAATAGGATGATCGATTTAATTTTTTTAAGTTATTTAACTTTTAACAAACTTCTTCATTTTTTTAATCTTTACAAATGCAAAACACTAAAAAATTGCTACACCTTTAAATTCTGTACTTTCTTCTTTGCAGAAGTAAGAAAAAATTTGTTCTAGCTGTCTTAGTTTTGTGTAATAAGTTTTCAAAAAGTGCATGTTTTTGTCAAAAAAACGTCTTATTTCTAAAACTAAGCGAAATTGACTAATAATATAGCGTAAAAAAGGCTGCATACAAATGCCATTTAAAAAAACATATGTTTATATTGTAACTTATTTTTGGGACGTGCTGTATGGTTGAAAATAATTGTAGGTGTTGAATTTTTTAGAACTATTTGATTTGGAATTACAGAAATTATTTTGGTATTTTAGGAGTTAATCTGAAAAAAATGGAATTACTATGGATTATTGGAATTACTGGAATTTTGGTGGAATTCTTTGGAATTACTGGAATTTCGGTGGATTTTTTTTTTGGAATTGGAATTAGTTGTACACATTTTTTTTTAAATTAACGGCCCCTTGGAATTGTTATTCTTTTAAATCTTTTTGTAAGACACTTCTCGATAAAAGAGAGTTAATTTTACTAAGCCATGTCGAAAATAAATGGAGAACATCCTCGTAAATGATTCTTCTCACCTATAATGATTAGATTCTGTTATTTCAAAGATTCCCCGAAATAAATGTCCCCGATTTAAACACTAACCCGTCTGTTTCAATTTAAATATTACCGAATCTTGAGCCAAACGACCTTATTATGTAACATTTGCCTTCGGTTACTATTTCAAAACAAACACAAGAAATTTTCTCTTCCTCAACCGCATATTTAAATCGACAAATCGTAAATACAGTGTGTAAACAAGTCAACGAAACAGTTTCCCCAATTTCCGCTGTTTCATGAATCCATGAAAATGTATTTCAGACTTCGTGTTACGAAACCCAACAAGTGTTTTAGTGTTTTAAATCGCAAGGAAGCCCCCCAACTTACCGTCAGAGTCGTCGCCGCCCCAATTCGAGTAGTCGTTAGCCTCCAGTTCTTGCAGACACCTGAGACAGAAGGTGTGGAGGCAGGGGAGGACTCTGGGCTCGACGAACAACCTCCGACACATGGGGCACTTGAATTTCGCGTCGTCGACGATGACATTGCAGATGCTTTTGGCTCGGGGGCTGGTGGGGGCGGCTTTTTTGGGGGTGTGTGGGGTGGATTTGGACCGGTCGTGGCTGATTTTGGGCTCGATTGAGCGCCTTTTGGCGGAATTTACTTCTTGGCTTTGGCGGCGGCGTGCAAAGCTTCCGAAAATGTACGACATTCTGTCTATTTCCATCATAATCTGGAATTATTTCACTGAAAATGGAACAATACTAGCCCCAAAGTGTCTCAATTGCGAATCTATTCCTGTTCCAACGCACTTAAATCTAGAAATAGCATTATTGATAGAGGGTTGACTTGAGTTTATTAACACTTGACTAAGAATTTGAAAAAAGTGGCTTTAGAGACAGTTTCGCGGCTCATTTGCAAAACTCTGAATTCTAGAACATCTGCATCTCATAAATTTCAACTGTCAAACTTGAATTTTTGGTTTGGTGTTAAACCCAAAACACCATTTGAACTTGACCCCATTAAGGGGGTTTTAAAAATAAAATTGCGCAGATGGTGAACCACAATTCATATAAATAAAAATTATGTTTACGTTTCGAAAATTTCACTTGTTGGAAGTCGAATTTGACATGCTGAAATGCTGTTTAAAAAAAGATCAAAACCTCACCTTGTTTTCAAATGATCAAAAATTTTACTACTTCATTTATTTTGTTTCGCTCACGACACTGAATATTTTTGTGACGCCCGGCGTCTCAACGCCTCGCCACTTCGGAACAGACTGATGTAGCGTTTCTATTTATTTTCCTCCCATCGTGTTGTAGACATAATTTAACGTGGAAGTGATGTACGAGACCGTTCTGAAAAGAATTTCGTCAAGAATTGAAGATGTTGAAGCGTATCAAGTCAAGAAATATTGCCGCGAAAGAATTTCTTTGAAATTAATCCAAATTAAAAAAATAGACAAGTTTACATAAAATAAAAGTTGTCTAAAAGTTGACATTACGTTTATGGCTCTTATTATTACTCTAACTAAACTGTTTATAGTTATTTATGAGATTATACATACAACAATAATACTCCGCGACTAATTTTATATTTTCATATGTGGCTCATAAGTTAATGCAGTTGTCTTCTCTTTTAAACCAAAAATTTCTCGTACTTTCTTCAAATGAAATAAACAATAATTAATTAATTAGGTACACATTTTTTTATTAGTTATCAATTATCATTAAAATAATAGTAGTTTATTATACAAATAAAGAAAAGTTGTTCATTAGCTGTGAGTGCGTAACACGAGTAATACAATACAATAATATAACGTTTTCTCTTATAAGTACATTCATATTTCTTTTTTAATAAAAAGTTAGAAATGTTATCTGTTGTTAATTTACGTTAACAATATTGTATTTTATTTTGCAAAAGTTTTGTGGTATATTAATTTTTTCACCAATTAGATAAAAATCACCAACTGACCATTATTATATCGAGTAAGATATAAAAAAATTGAATCAAATAATGGTACCACATCGCAACCTGTACTACTTCTACTCTTATTTTATTTTCACATTTGAAAATGAACTGTGAAGAAAGTACGTCACAAAAATGAAATTAACGCCAACGACTTATTAAAGCACTCAAATGACGTCATTTGGGTGCTGGAATAGACTTATTCTAAACGCAAAATAGAAACACGTAAAAGAGAATTTTTTTTTTATGTAAAGTATTTCACGTGAAAAGCTATTTTATTTTCTTGTGCATTTTGGGATTTTTTCAAAATTTTCAACGGTTTGGGAAAAGGTGTCCAAAGATGTTAAGGAATTAAAAAAAACAAAATTTATCTTTTTTAATTTAGTTTGTAAAAATACAGAAAAATGAAAAGTTTTTAGTTTGGCCAGACAATACTCTCAATCCAGTCAATGTACGCCGACACTCGGGTATAGACCCCAATGCTGTTTTCTCCCCCACATCCTTTACCAAACGAGGTAATACCAACTACAACAAAGTGTTTTTTGATTTGTTCTGTTTCACTGACTAAATAATGGAGTGGCCCTCCCGAATCACCCTAAAAAGCAAACAAACATTATAAAAATACTTAAATATCTATTCTTACCGGACAAGTATCTCCTCCCCTAGCATCTCCTGCACATAACTGCAGCTCATCCACAATACCATCTTTCAGTTTTCTTTTWGACACAGTTGAATATCGTTTTGCACACTTTTGATAACCCACTTCTTTCAAACCGACTTTCAAAAGGTGGCTACTTTGCTCACCCAAATATTCGACTTTGCCCCATCCAATKGCCTCAAGTGTTGCAGGAATAGAAATTTCAGTTTGTAAACATGCAGGATCGGAATACCCTTCAAAAAAAACCCTTGATTCTACTTCGATTAAAGCAATGTCGTGGTAGTGAGAACTGGACTTGTATTTCGGATGGGCAAAAGTGTTTATAATTTGAAGATCGAGGCGATGAGCATCGTCAGTCTCGTTTTTGAGGTCCAAGTCACCTAAACGCACCCAAGTGGCTGGTCCGCTAAAAATATTTTTTTTAATTGAGAGAAAACAAATCGGAAATTATTAACAAGTTTTTCGAGAAGAGACAATGAGCTGCTGTTAGAATAAATTGTTGGCTTATCAAAGTTCCGCCACATAACCATACGATGGTTTCGTTATTGTCACCATAACCAATCGCTGCCTAAAAATAAATGTTGCTACAATAAAAAAACAGAATAAGAAAATGAAATTATTGATAACAATTCCGAAAAAAATTACTATCAATCATGAAATTATGTCACAAATTACAGAAAATTAGTATTTTTATGTTATTCTGACATTGCGTAATGCCTTTTCTTACCATGTGAGGGAATTCCTTCGATTTTGCTTTTTCTCCTAAATGTATTATAAGCTCGGTCAAAAGTCCCTTATCCTCATTCAAAGACAATTCTTGTCGCTTGTGCTCGTACTTGCTTAAGCAATCTAAAATGAAATTTCAAGTGTTATTTCTTAATAGAACATTGGAATTATCTTATATTGCCGACTTTTTCCACCAAAACGCCTGGCCATTACTCGTTGATTAACAGGACAACAAACTAAAACAGTCTTTTCTTTAAAACCACAAAATTCCGGATTTATCCTTTGTTTTAAAAGTTTTTTTGCATATTCGCAGTTGTGTACACTAATGCACACCCCACTCTCATTCGTGGTTGGAACAATGCATTTGTCACCTGAAAATAATTAACATGAAAAAACTTAAAGAATTGAAACTACTTACCTTCGTATTGTAAAGTACTGCATGTTAGAAATAAAGAGAATATTAACGTTAGCATTGAGAGAACCATAATATGGTTTCAAGTTATAATTCTTCAATCCAATTTCAACAAAACAAAAAGAATATTATGAATTTGAACAGGTTTATATACAAGGTATTAACCTTCGAGAATGTCTAATTAAGCAAGGCGTTAAGTCTTTTTCCTTCTCCGAAAAGCCTTGTTAAAAAAATGTTAAAAGGACGAAAAAATACTTGCCTCAACGTTTGTTTAATGCATTTCTTTTCTGTTTAATTTGTTATTCCAAGTCTTGGAGGCTTTGATGGTTACAGAGGGGATGCACTATGAGAATGGGACACAACCATGCCATGTCCCATTTACATAATGCCTCAAGTCTAGTAATAAAAATGAACAAACCCTTTCAATTGACAAAACTTGTCTTTTATTTTAAAATATTTTATATTTTTGAGAGTTATGCGACATGATCGGCATTTTGCAGTTAGAACACATTCAACTTTTAAATAGATAACCATAATAATCAACTTTTTAATTAACTACATGTTATATTAGGGGTATATTACTGTAATAACACTAAGAAAATCGCTTAAATGTGGATATCTTTTACATCTGCAACAACCTAATTGATAATAATTGGTGAAATGGTTGTCTGAAGGTAAAACAATAAAAAACATAAACAAGAAAAGTTTTATTTATAAAACAACAAAGATACATGAGAAATCGAACTGAATCAAACAATTAAAAATTACTAGGGCCAGACAATACTCTCAATCCAGTCAATGTACGCCGACACTCGCGTATAGACCCCAATGCTGTTTTCTCCCCCACATCCTTTACCAAACGAGGTAATACCAACTACAACAAAGTGTTTTTTGATTTGTTCTGTTTCACT